GCTTGCGCCAGGCAGGCGCGCGGTTCGTACGGCCCGCGCCAGGCCCGTGCGCGGCCCGTACAGCCTGCGCCAGAGCCGTACACTGTCCCCCAAGCTGCTGCCCGAGCCGCGCACCATCCCCCGAGCTGCTGCCCGCGCACCGCCCCCCGCTGCTGCCTGTGTTAGGGTTTGGGGGTGGCGAGTGTGGGGGTGGCGAGTATGGGGGTGAACGGTGTGTGCGCCGTCCCCTGCTCCTCCTCCTCCTCCGTCTCCCACTGCTGCAGCTGTCGCTGAAGGGGGTGGATGTGTTGGAGCCGTTGGAGTGGTACGAGGGGGGTGGCGTGTGAGCAGTGCTAGGGGTACAGCAGGGAGTGTGTGAAAGGGGTGTGGGACAGTTGGGGGAGGTTGACCGGAGGTAGCCGGTGTGACGTCAGCAGCGCCAGTACTCCGGGGGTTGAGTACTCCGGTAGCCCAGCGAGCCTGCTGCTGCCAGTCGCCCATGGGTCTGTTGCTCTTGCTGCTGCTTAGCGCGGAGCCAGTTACTCATGTAATCCGGAGGTTGAGTGCTCCGGTAGCCACCGTGCACGCCGTTCGTGTTGCCCGTGTGTCTGCGGCTTCACCCGACGCCTCCTATCTCCACTCCTCTCACAGTTCCTCCTCCTCCTCACTTGCGTTCTGTGACTACCTCTTGCTTTGCTTGTATTTGTGAACCTACTGCTCTGCCTGCTTGCTGTGCTGATTATACCCCACTTTGACTATGGGGGTGTGTCAGAATGTGATGTTTGTCTAGCCTGCAGTGGGGTACTCTATAGCAAGTACAGCCCGAATTAGGGTTTGCTATATGTACTCAACTGCGTGCTAGTGAAAACCCCTCTTTCCTGTTTCTAGTTTCTACCTACTATTTCGACAGGGTGCACTCTAAAACCGGGATTACGGGGATTCTGGCCAGCAAGGCGGTGTGTAGGGATAACACCGTCAATCACGGCCGGTAAACTGTATTTCCCCCCCGCGGCACCGCTCAGTCGTGTTGGTACAGCAAAGCTGCCATCAGCAACAATTCCAACCAATCGGGCATGTGCAGCAACCAGCGTTGGCAACATTCCTTGCCAACGCATAGCTCGCAGCGCTCTGCTTCACGCATGACACCAGAACCATCCACCCCACCCCACATGCGCTGCATACACGGCCAGGTGACGTGCATGCATGGAGCAGTGAGGGTTTCACAATGAGGTCCTAAAAAGGTGACCTCCTCAACTCACCCAGCGTGACCGTTCCTGCAATTCCCTCTGCCGCTTGGCTCTCCCTTAGATCTTTGCCATCCCTTGTTACTACTGCCTGATCCCTCGTTTCAGGCAGCTTCTCCCAACCTAGCAAAACACTGCTCGGCAGATTCAACGGCTGCCACAGACACTGCCGCGGACGATCTGGACGACGACGACGATGTAGGTCGTCGCCCCATTTGATTTATCTTCTATTATTTCTTCTAGGTGACATGGCGACGGGCCTCGACTTTCTTAAGTCATCCTTAGCTACGCCCTGTGCACCGCCAGCGGCACCGTCTCTGCCCAGCATGAGTCACACTCTAGAATCTGTGCACCTGGATTCTCTGCCCGAAGCCGCCACAGAACATGTGACAAACACGCCTCAGATGGAGCTACATGAGGCGTCCGAAGAAACTCCATCCCGTCAAGCGCCACTACCGAAGCTGCGTTTACGGCAGGTCACCATTGCGTGGGGAACTCCACCCCCTACTTCGAGTGTTCATGCTCCTGTGGCGGAGGAATCACCGAATCAAGACAGCTCCAAACCCCGTCCCGAGAAAGTTGTGCTGAACTACGAAGAAGCGCACGACCGTTTCAAGTCGAGGTGGTGTACGGATTATCCATGGCTGATACTAACTATGACTTCTGCTGGTGCCCCCTCTTTTAAGTGCAACATATGCATGGAATTCGCGGGATTGGCAGGCAAATGTGGACGGCGTGGAGAAGGCGCTACCGACGTGCAGACGCAGGCCTTCAAGAAGCATGAGGGTACCACGAAGCATAAGTTAGCACTGCAGAGGCAAGACGACCTACTGCAAAAGGTGGAGGGACAACGCCGCATCGATCTACACCCCAAGGCGCAGGACAAGAAGATGGTGCAGATCTCGGCACTAGCGGAGTCGTTGTACTTCACGAGCGAGTGCAACGAGCCCATGGACTCATGGATCCAGCTTGTGCGCTACCTCGCGAATAAAAGGGTGCTCGGGTTTCCGGAGAATGGATACGGCACATACTACAACACGTACGTGACTCCTGCTTTTACAATTCTCAAAGCATTGCCCTCAGATTAGCATTTCGCGTGTAGCTCACTCTCGTGCTCTTTTTTCATTTACAGGTACGGCTTTGGTGAGCTGACTCAAGGAATCGCGACATGGCTCCAACCAACGCAGGTGAGGCATCTTCTAACGAGTTCCTTCATCGGGATCACGCTGGACAAGAGCACCGATCGGCGACGTGGCAAACACATGATTGTGTTTGCCACCTTCATCCGCGATGGCGTTGTCGTCACCGAGTTTTTCGCAAATCTCACAGTTGAGAAGGCCGACGCTGCATCCCTTTCCCACCTCAGGGCTGTCGGCGTGGACCTCCGCCGAATATCAGGCATGAGGACAGACGGGGCGATGGTCATGGTGGGGCAGCATACAGGAGTAGTTGCACGCATCCGAATGCCCATCCCCAACCTCGTCTCTGTCAGTAGATCTGCACTGTGGATGCCCGATTGATCCTGGAGAGGGTTACAAGCGCGTTTGTCTGGGGGGTTATGGGCGCATTGACCCGCTACTGAAACAAGCCCTTTTATCCCAATGGTCTAGTGGTTGGGATTCTGACATGGTATCAGAGCGGTCTTGGGTTCGATTCCCGGTTTATGCACATGTAGGCCGCTGCCGCTGTGCTTAGTCCTGGGCCTCCCAGTGTGGGGGGGTGTCAGTAGATCTGCACTGTGGATGCCCGATTGATCCTGGAGAGGGTTACAGGCGCGTTCGTCTGGGGGGTTATGGGCGCACTGACCCGTTACTGAAACAAGCCCTTTTATCCCAATGGTCTAGTGGTTGGGATTCTGACAGTCTCGTCCACTGCATCGCACACCGGTACGTCTGGCTCTGCATTTTTAACAGCATGATTCAGGTCGTGTTGCTATTTAACTCTATAATCTTGTGTGTGTTGTGTTACTTGCAGAGAAGCACTGGCTGTAAAAGCTGCAGCCGAGGAGATCCCCACCTTCAACATGGTTGACGCCGTCATCTGCGCCGTCGCTGAGTACCTTCGGCGTTCGGGTCCTTGGCATCAACGCTTCATGGAGCTCCAAGAGGTCTTCACATCCACGAACCTCGAGGTGCAAGGCATATACGAGGTTCGATGGCTGTCGCGGGGTGGTGCAGTGGCGCGGTTTGTCAAAGTCATGCCCGCCATTATTGTGATGCTGTCCGAGTGGAAGGACCAGACGATGTACGAGTTGGTAACGTCCTATCGCTTCCAGTTCCTTGTGAGGTTTCTAGCGGACGTGCTGGATCTGCTGGACGTCCTCTCCAAGGTTTTCCAGCATCGAGAGGTAAGTGACAGTTCATTTGTTTTTCAGATTAGTGTTTTTTTAAGTCCTAGTACCAACTACCAGTGATTCGTGTGTGGCAGCTTGACTACCCACTCGTGCACACTCAGATCGTGCGCACAACCTCTCTCCTGGAGAGCCGCTACATAGACAGTGGCGTGGCGATGATTTCGGCGGCGGCACCAGCGAGCTTCTGTATCGGTTCATCGCCAAGCGCGGGCCACAAGGGTCGCCGCAGATGGTGGTGGAAGGTGCCTCGTCAGACGGCAGCATGAACCGCTTCCGTTTCGAACTTCACGAGCGCAAAAACAAGAACTACCTTGGACCCGGCCATCATGACGCCTGTGTCGCACTCTGCACCGACATGGCCGAGCTCCTCGTCAACAATCTCCAGTCAAAGCTTGGTGACCTCGATTCGCTGGCTGGAGTGCGCCTCTTCATCCCGGACATGTGGCCACCAAACTAGGATCGGCAGGCTAGGCAGGCGCAGTGTCTGGAGTGGCTGTTGTCGCTCGCCACTCTGTTTCACGCCGACGACTCGCGCGAGATTCTGCCAGGTTAGTTTTTGCTTGGTCATTCATTGCACACGTTTGACACTTGCCCGCTCGTTTTAAACTAATACATTCCACATTGTTACTTACATCGCAGGCATTGGCAAAAAGCGGGCGGTTAAAGAGCTGAGGACTCTTTGCCCAGCCTTGGCCATGGCTCCCAAGATCGAGCGGAAGTTCCATTCGGGACTGGCAGCCATCTTCAAGACTCCAGATTGGCAGCAGGCATACCCCAACCTTGTCGACCTCTGGATGGCGGTAGCAGTGTTGCCTCTCAGCACTGTTGAGTGTGAGAGAGGTTTCTCGCGACAAAACCTCATCAAAACGTGGCAGAGAGGCAGTATCAAGGACTGCAGGCTTAGCGATTTGTTGTGCATGTCATTACTAGACTACGAGCTAGATTTGCCAGGAGTAGTTAAAGTGTGGCGCAGCTACAAGAAGCGCCGTCCAGTCACAGCACCTGCTGCAAGACACAGGGACCCTCCAAGAGTTGGCAAGGAGCATGTAGAGGAGGGGCCAGTAGCTGATCGTGCCCCTCTAGAACGTTATCAGTCAGACTCTCATTCAGATATGAAGGAAATGATTACCGTAGAACAAGGGTTTTACAATACTGCATGTTCAGTAACAAATTTTCAATATAACGCTGATTTTGAGCCTAGGCCAGTTAGGTGTGTCTGATTCTCCAGCCTAAAATTTTGCAGCAACACTGACAGACAGAGTACCAGGAGGGATGCACACTGTGCTGTCAGCGTGCCTCAAAACGAATATACGCCCTGCCTTACAGCCTCCCCACAATTCGAAAACAAGATAAATCGTAACCCAAGGCGATTGCCATCCTGGTGTTTCAAATTCTTTTCTCGATTCCTCCCTGGCATGGCTTTGTCAACTCCCTTGGACCGTCGATTCTCTTGTGCTTTCTCCTCCGGCAGGTGATGTCAGATGTGAGACTGGCCCTCCTTTCCCTCTCCTCAACACCCCTGCTGCCGGTTGAACTTCTGCAGACAGCAGTGCAGCAGAAGCATGCACGAGTGGAGCCTGAGTTGCCTGAGGCGTAGGAGCAGCAGAGGAGGTGAGGGCGAGTTTGAAGGCCTGGTACTCGCGGTCGTTGGGCAGCCCCAGGCGCCTGCAGAAGGCCTCGTCCGTGGGGGTCAGCAGGCTCAGCGGGAAGGCTGTGGACGGCAGCGGCGCTTGGGGTGGAGGAGGCGGAGAGGAGGGCTCCGAGAAGGGCCGGGCGGATGAGAGAAAGGCGAAGGGGTGGGCGGGTTGGGCTGGGTGCGGGGCCGGCGGTGGTGGCATGAGAGACGCGTCTGTGGGCAGTGGCAGCGCGGGAAGGGAGGTGGGAGTGGCAGGAGATGAAGAGGTGGCAGCACGGGGTGAGGCGGAAGGGTCGTGGGCAGGTGGCAAGGAAAGAGAAGACAGCAGCTGAGGAGGGGCATCGGTGGGAGCGGAGGCGGCTCTGCAATGCAGGTAGAAGAGGTGGCGCGGGCGGATGCGGGCGTGCAGGGAGAGGGAGAAGTAGGCGGGGAAGGAGACTATGGAGTTGGGCGAGCCGCCCAGGTGGTGGATGAGGTAGTCGTACTTGGGCGCCAGGCAGTTGGGCACTGAGAGGGAGAGAATCTGACAGTGAAGGGGGGCAAAGGTGTGGTCGGAAGGGGAGGAGGGCGGGGAAGGAAACATGGGGAACCGAGACAGGAGAAGAAAGAAACGGTCACAGGCGAAAAAACGGGGTACAGAGGTGTTAGAAGATGGGGGTTGGCACAACACGCTGTTGAGCACACCTGGGGCAGGCGGAAGAGCACACCTGGGGCAGGCGGAAGAGCACACCTGGGGCAGGCGGAAGAGCACACCTGGGGCAGGCGGAAGAGCACACCTGGGGCAGGCGGAAGAGCACGTGTGCGACATCCCGGCTGGAGAGGCCGATGCTTCTGAGGAATGCCACCCGCGGGCGCACGGCGTCGTCCAATGAGTAGTGCAGCAGCTGTGGATGGCTGGGGGAAGAGCGGGGGTGGGTGGGCATGACAAGCATGGTGAGATGCATGGTGAGACGAATGGTGTGACGCATGGTGGGATGCATGGTGGGGTGCATGGTGGGATGCATGGTGGGATGCCTGGTGGGGTGCATGGTGGGGTGCATGGTGGGATGCATGGTGGGATGCATGGTGGGATGCATGGTGGGATGCATGGTGGGATGCATGGTGGGGAGCACGAAAACGAGAGGATGGGATGCGCGCATGTTTTGAAAAAGAAGAGTGTATGGATTTGGGCTGAATGAGGCAAGGCGGAGAGAATGGTTGATGGATGAGCTTGGCCAACGATTATTGGGGCTCCAGTAATTGTTAAGTGGGTTTGAACCAACAATATTGGTGGCCCAATCATTGTTGGAAACCCAGCCCAACCAAGCTTCAACCACATATTGTGGTTGGAGATACACCCAACAAACCTACACCAATTCTGGCATGTGCATGTTGTATAAAATCATTACAACATGTCTGTATGTATGTCAAAGGGGAAGAGGGCAAGGAAGAGGAGCAAAAGAGAAAGTAAGGGGGGAAAAGAGAGAAGGCATTGAGGGGATGGCACAGACCGCACGACCATGGAAGCGAGGGAGGGAAGGGGCAGCGCGAGGTCGTGCAGGAAGTAGTGGAGGCGTGGCACGAGGCCGCTCTGCACGCTCTGAGTGAGCACCTGCGGGCTGCGCAGCACCACCTTCACCACGTCCTCGTCGCTCAGCTGCAGCGCATTCTGGGGGACGCCGCAAGGGGGGGTGTGTGAGAACAGTGGGCGGAGAAAGAAAGAGGGAGAATTGAGACCACATGTCTGAGTCCTTTCTAAACGAACAAGCCTGCATGCAGCGATCCATACATGTGAAACGGGCTAAGAGCTTGTTGGTAAGTGGGTCGATGATGTCACTGTAGTCAGCGTGTGAGCATTATGAAGCTCTTTTTGGGCCCATAGATTGTGGCGTAGTGAAGGCACGCACATGCCAGTGACTATGCCGGATGGGAAAGCGGGCCACATTACTGTGGACAACCCTTTAACGTGAGTGGTGAAGCGAGGAAAGGGTGCTGAGTATGGTTGGAATGAATGTTTCTCCTTGAGCACTATATGAGAGCCTCACTGTCGAGTGTGAATTCTATGGAGTGTGATGCCTGTGGTGAGCCAATGTACCACGAAGTCGCTTCATTAATCATGGAAGTGCCAGGGAACAACATGTTGATGCGCACACCAGGAGGAGCACTATCACTAGCACTAGCCTTAACGTGTTCTTGTGCCTCGACATGGTTGACCTTACGAAGGCGCATCCAGTCCGATGGCTTCTTGTCGATTCCATGGACGGCATACCATTTGTCGTCATTTTTCTTCAAGCAAGTAACAAGGGGGTGGTTAGTGCCACAACACACTTGTCCCTTGCGGTTGCCATACTTGACGACGTAGGTATATGGAGGAAAGCGGTTGCGCTGAAAGGGCGCCGAGGTAACACTCGCTTGAGGCACGGGAGCACGGAAGGCGTAGGCCTTGGCTTGAGCCGTGGTGTTTTTCTCAACGGAGAGGAGTGCGGAAGAGACCTTAGAAAATGTAAGGTGTTCCGTCGAGAGTGCGAGGAGCATTTTCCTCGTAACTTCGTATGCTGAGGTGAGGCCGACACGAAGAGCGGTTGCGGGAGCTTGCTCGGGGAAGATTATGCTGAGTTCCTTGACCTTTGGCGATGTAGTCGGCCATACCTGGAGAGTCCTCAAGGCGGACCTGGAACATGCTCGGGATGAGAATGACCACCCGCCGTCTTGTTCATAAAACGAGAATGAACATGCTTCTATATGGCGCTGGAGGTACGGTAGTTGTGGAAGGTGTTGACGAGGTCGGGAGGGGTAGTGCGGATGAAGACGCTAATGATAGCCGCATCGACCTTCTCCCAACGGCGGTAGTTGTCAACAGCTTCCTCGTACTCCCTTGTTGCCGTCGCATTAGTGATCGGACGGCGCTGTGGGGACATGGGGCTGTTTTCCTTTCCCTTAGTTGAGATCCAACCTTTGCACCTCACAGCTCAAGAGGTGCTTGTCCACCCCGTAGCTCCATACCTTGTAGTTGGAGCTTGAGCCGTCGGTTTCGAGGCGAAGAGGGGTGATGGGATTGGCGATAGCGGAGGAAGCGAACGCCATGATAACTATGTTTCTTCCTTTCTGCGCGAAGCGCAGCTCTTAAGTCGTCGTAGGCAGAATTATGAGGTAGGGTTTACGAAGGAGAATTGTAAGATAAGGTTTACGAATGAGAATTCTAAGGTAGGTTTTAGATCTTGTCGCTGCAGGGCGACGGACGGCAGCCGAAGAAAGGCGACGCTGCCGGGCGACGGGCGGTAGCCCGACGAGGAGGAGAAGAGCCGCGTACTCGGGAAGAACTAGGGATAAGCGCTATGCCGACAATTCGCTTTATCGAAAAATGCGGAAGTCGTCGCGACGGCAAGGTGAGTGGCGCGGGAGAAATTCCGACCAGAGATGTCGCGAATTAACGGCGACGGAATTGAAAGCGGTTTCGCCGAAGAGTGCGGCAGGAGAATCCCCAAAAGTATAATGGAATCCGCGTGTGCGGTAAAATTGCTCTGATACCATGTGAGGGAATCGGGCGCAATCCCTAGGGATTGAAAGTAATCCCAAGGCAATCTCCAATTGGTGGATGTGGGTGTACACTCAATCAAACACAAAGTGAAAAGTACACTAAACTAGGATATAGAAAGTAAAGTACAAAAGGTGAGTCAGAAGGTTGACACTAGCAAGGAGGGGCACCTGCAGGAAGCGAGGAGGGGCACCTGCAGGAAGCGAGGAGGGGCACCTGTAGGAAGCGGATGCGCGGGCGGATGGCACGGTCCACACTGCACTCGAAGATGCCGGGTGCCAGCTGGATCACACGTGCCACGCGGTCTGGTGGCACGCCAAGGGCCATTAGGAAGTCGACACGTGGCGCCATGCGCGTGTCGACGCGGTAGGTGAGCAGCTTGGGGCAGCGCGCTACGAGGCGCGGCACATCAGCGGCTGGCAGCCCGATGGCCCGCAGATAGGCCATGCGCTCCCGTGCCAGAGTGGGGGACGTCTAGGGGGGAATTGGGAGGGGAAGGCGGGAGGGGGTAGTGGGTAAGAGGGGCGGGTGGTGTCACGGGCATGCGACGAGAGGATGAGGGGAACAGGTGCATGGCATGGCAATGCAGGAGATTCTGCCATTCTGCCGTGCCGTCGCATGACCAAAGCCCCTTCCCAGCCCAGCCAAAGCCCTTCAGCTAAGCTCCTCCGGCTCCCAGTAAGACTGGTGGACTCACAGTGAGCAAGGCGCGGCGGGTGGAGGCGAAGCGCAGCAGGTCGGGCGGGCGGAAGCCCTCCTCCAGCAGACACGCCACCAGCGCCGCCTGCCGCCCCCTCCGCACCGCCTCCCTCCTCGACGCCGGCTCCGTCACCCGCACGGCCTGTGCGGGTGGTGGGTGGGGCACGGGAGGGAAGAGGGAAGGAGGCAGTGGGCGTGCAGTGAGTGAAAGGGGGATGAGGGAGAGGAGAGAGGCGCGGGCGGGAGAGTATGCAGTGCAAGGGCGTTGGTTGAGAGATTGGAGGCACAAGCAGATGGTTGAGGGGTGATGCACATACACAGGCACAGACGCCCCAACACAGACACACACCCACTCACGCACCTCCACACATACACATACACACACACACACGCACACATACACACACACACACACACACACACACACATAGACCCGTCACCCCCTCACACACACGTGCACACACCCCTACGCACACACACACTCGGCACCCTCTCTAGCGTCAAACCCTGGCATGCAAAAAAGCGCCCCCCTCCCACGCTCACCCCACCCGCCACACCACCCAGCTGCATCAAGGCGGACGCATGCCACCCCTCGCCCTCGCTGCTGCTTGTCATGCCGCCACTCGACTCCCCACTACCGCCGTCACTCATCCCCTCACTCCTGCGTGCATGGCCCTCCTCGTCGCCCCTCGCACCGCTGCGTCCCTGCCAGTCCCGCAGCCGATGCCCGCCTGCCCACACATGGACCATGCTGCTGCTCTCGCCTTGCTCCTCATCCCTCTCCCCCGCCTCGCCCACCATCCCTTCCCCCGTCCCTTCCCCTCTCGCCCCTCCTGCGCCTCCCCCTAACAGCCTCCCCTCCTCTGCCGCTTCCCTGCTGCCTGCGGGGGACAGCGGGGGGGCAGCGGCGCTCGAAACGAGGTGCTGGGGGAGGGGGAGTGCGGATGGGCGGGGAGTGGCGGCTGCGCTGCTCTCGCCCCGCCCACCCTCCACCTCACTCTCCCCCCCATCTTCCCCCGCAGGCCGCGCTGACAGCTGCGGCGGCGGCAGCAGCTGCACGTGGCGCGAACCGCCCTCCCTTTCGCGCGCTCCGCCCGCGCCACTTGCCCTCCCCGCCACCCCACTGCCCGCCTCCTTCCCGCCGCCTGCAGCGCGCCTGTCCTTCTTCTCCCGCTCCTTCCCCGCGCCCCCCCGCTCGTCCCGGGAGCGCGCGGCGAGCAGGAGGCGCTTCTTCTGCGCCACCATGGCCATGGCCTGCGCCTCCCACTCCGCGTGCGACAGCCGCGCGAACTTGCTGCTCGCCCCGCGCCCCGCCCTCTTCGCCACCTGCGGTCTCGCAGGGAGCTCCCTCGCCTCCTTTGCTCCCTTCGCCTGCCTCCCCTCCTTCCCCTCCTTGCCCTCCTTGCCCTCTCTGCCCACTCTCCCCTGCCTAACCTCTCTCCCCTCCTTCCCCTCCCTGCCCTCTCTGCCGCTGGGCGGTTCTCTGATCCACCCTGAGTCGAGGTACTCGGGGGGAGATTCGGGGGAGTGCGCGCTCAAGGGCGGGGGGAACGCGCCGTGCAGCGACGGGAAGGGCTCGATGCCCGTGGCGCGCACCCGCTGCTCCATCCAACGCTTCAGGTCGATGACGCCGCCGCCGCCAGCGCTCGCATTCTCCGCGCTCGCCTCCCATTTCGCGGTTTCCCCGCCTGCCCTCTCCTCCGCTGCGGCGCGCGGCCCATACGCGACAGGCGCGCGCCCGGACAGGGGCGGTGCAGCGGGTTGGGGAATGCAGAGGGGCATTCGCGGTGTGGCGGGGGAGAGGCGGAGAAACATGGCGGGTGGTGTTCCCGCAGCAGGGGGATGAATGTGCAGGGATGCGGGCAGCGATTGCCTGTGAGACTCGGAAAACACCGAGAGGTATGGAGTGAGGATACTAGGGTAGGACAAAGGTTGCGAGTTTCTGCTAGAAACAGTTGAGTGGCTTGCTTTGGTTTGGCGAGTTTCGTTCTCCTCGCCTTGTGACAACGCGTCCTCGTTACCACTTGTTTCTTGAATGAGTTCAATTTACTCATTCCGTCTATAGTGTCAACACTTCCAATTTTCCTGCTTTTTCTTCCAGTTACAAAGGCCAGCAAACATGCTTCACATTTTGAGACGTCCATTTATCTACCCCTTTACGGTGATAAATGTCGCCTGTGTTGGAAACATGTAGTTCGCGCTTCTGATGTGTCGAGCACTACAACGTAAGCGAAGCGAACTACAGCGAAGTAACAGCGAGTCAACGGCAGTGGTTGACAGAAAGACAACAGCAAGAAGTTAAGTGAAGGTCAAAGGTCAGCGAACATTGACTTGCCGAAAAGCAGCGCGACAGCAAGGACACATAACTGACTTGCTATAGAGCAGTTACCCGTGTCAGAACTATGCATATATATACTCTAGGTTGTAGCGGGGCACTCCTTGTGGGGTACAGTCCAAATTAGGTTTTGATATACAAACCCTACACTGCTGCCTATCTAGTTATTCTTGATTCCTACTTTCTGACATGGTTTCAGAGCAGGTTCCCTAGTGGGAACGTTTTTTTTTGTAGGGCCCACCACAATATTTTTTTTTCCTGCCCTGCCCGAAGCGCGCCTCGCGCCTGCCTCACCTGCGCCGTCGCGCGCCCTACGCTACTGCCCCCCGTAGTGGCCCTGCCCTCCCGGCCCATTGCGGCCCTGCCCTAACGGCCCGTCGCGGCCCTGACCTAGCCGCCCGTCGCGGCCCTGCCCTGTCGCCGCCCGTCGCGGCCTTGCCCTGTCGCCACCCGTCGCGGCCTCACCCAGCCGCCTGTCGCGGCCTGACCCAGCCGCCCGTCGCAGCCATGCCTTGCCGCCACCCGTCGCGGCCCTGCCCTCAGCCGCTCGTCGCGGCCCTACTCTACCGCCGCCTCGTCGCGGCCCTGCCCTACTGCCGCCCCGTCGCGGCCTTGCTCTGCCGCCTCGTCACGGTCCTGCCCTAACCGCCAGTCGTGGCCCTGCACTGCACCCGCCCCTGGTAAGCGCTCGCCCTGCCAAGCGCGCTGCTGCGCCCGCCTCCCTGCCGCGCCGCGCCGCCCAGCCGAGCCGCGCCGCCCTGCCGAGCCGCGCCACCCTGCCAAGCCGTGCCGCTCTACCGAGCCGCGCTGCTCTGCTGAGCCGCGCCGCCCTGCCCTACTGCTACTGCTGCTGCTACTGCCGCCATGGCTAGTCCTACTGTTCTTACCTTCGATGCTGAGGGTTGTGCGGTCGATTTCGAAGTTTGGGTTGATGACTTGCAGCTCTATCTTCAGTGCAACTCTAGGGACGGAGTCTCGCTTTTCGATCACACTTCCGGCGCCTCTGTTGCACCTGCTGCCGATGCTGACACTACAGTTCGCTCGCAGTGGACTACTCATGACGCTGTTGCTTGCCTTGCTGTTCGTAGTCACCTGCCGTCAGCTGAGCGCGCGCACTTTGGCCAGTACAAGACTGCTAAGTCTTTGTATGACGCTGTCGTCATATGCTACTCCTCCCCTGCCACTGCTGCCCACAGCCGCCTCATTCTGCCGTACTTGTTCCCTGACCTGGCCGCCTTTGCCACAGTCGCTCACCTCATCACTCACCTCCGCACTAGTCACATCCGCTACAACGATGCGCTTCCCTCCGAGTTTCGCGCCAAGAACCCCCCCCCCCCCCCATGTACATCACCCTTTTCTACATCGTCACCCGTCTCCCTGACTCTCTTCGCTCAGTCAGGGACCACTTTCTCTCCCTTTGCCCCACCGAGCTCACTGTCAACCTGCTCGAGGAGCGCCTCACTGCAGCTGAGACTAGCATAGTCGCTGTAGGAGCTTCTCGCGGCGACCCTCGCACCCCTTTCTTTGAGGGGTGTTCCCCCGTTCCCCTTTTGCCCTCCGTTGCTTCTACTGCTGCTGTCGACCTCGTTAGCACCGAGTAGGTCGGGGCTAAGTCTGCTCCTAGTGGGAGGCGCCGCAGCGGCAAGGGCAAGGGGATCAACGGTGGTGGAGGGGACGGCGGGAGCGGCGGTGGTGGCGGTGGAGGAGGCGGAGGGGGTGGGGGTGGAGGTGGGGGTGGTGGCGGGAGTGGGGGCGTCGGTGGCGGCGGTGGAGGTGGTGGAGGCAGCGGCAGCGGCAGTGGGGGTGGCGGCGGTGGTGGTGCTGGTCGGGGTGGAGCCGCGCAGCATGGAGGCTTTGGCGGTAGCCAGCGGCAGCAGTAGCCGCGTTCCCGTGAGGCCCAGTCGCCCCAGCAACTTCGTGAGTGGTACGCTGGGCATGGGAGGTCTGGGGGTGCTGGTCCCTGCGCTTACGTTCTCCGCACCGGCGAGCGCCATGGGGAGACGTGCGCTGTTCCGGTCATTGCGACCTCCTCCACTGTCCTCCCCTGTCCTGCGGTCCCGTCGGGCACACTGTCAGGTCTCCGCCTCCCCTCATTCTCTACGAACCTGGTGGCAAGATGTGCGCTCCAGGACGGGGGTGTTCACCAGTTCACCAATGCCTACGAGCGAGTGACACACTGCACGTGTGCTTGTACGGGCCGTCACTTGGCTACCTTCACTCGGCAGCCGGGGTCGGACCTGTACACACTGACCACTGAGTCCCCTCAGGTCGCTGCGTCTGCGTCTGCGTCCGCTTCAGGTCAGCTCTCGGCCCCCTGCTCGTGTCGCTCTCTGGCACACGAGACTGTCCTCTGGCACCACCGCCTTGGCCACCCGTCTGTGCAGCGGCTTCGTGCCATGCACTCCCGATACCTTGTCTCTAGCCTTCCCAGGGTCCTTCCTCCCCTCCCTCCCTCACCTGCTCCTCCCTGTCTTCCCTGTGTTGAGGGGCGGCAGCGCGCCGCTCCTCACTCCTCCTCGTTTCCCCCGACGACTGCTCCCTTGCAGACGCTCCACATGGACGTGTGGGGCCCATCCCGCGTCCGTGGTCAGGGTTAGGAGAGGTACTTCGTGATAGTTGTTGACGACTACTCGCGCTACACCTCGCTCTTCCCCTTGCGCACCAAGGGTGAGGTCCCTGATGTCTTGATCCCTTGGATCCGCAGAGCCCGTCTCCAGTTCAGCGAGCGTTTCCACTCGGACTTTCCTGTCCTGCGGTTGCACTCTGACAGAGGTGGTGAGTTCTCCTCCGACCTCTTGGCAGCCTACTGTGCTGAGCACGGCATTGAGCACTCGTTCACGCTTCCTGCCTCTCCACAGCAGAATGGGATTGCGGAGCGCCGCATTGGCCTGGTCATGGAGGTCGCCCGTACCTCCTTGATCCATGCGGCTGCCCCCCACTTTCTGTGGCCGTTTGCGGTCCGGTACGCTGCGCATCAGCTCAACCTCTGGCCCCGTGTCTCCTTGCCGGAGACCTCGCCCACACTGCTGTGGACGGGGGAGGTTGGCGATGCGTCGCGTTTCCGGGTCTGGGGATCTCGAGCTTTTGTCCCCGATACGTCTACGGACAAGCTCTCCTCCCGTGCTGTTCCCTGCGTCTTCCTCGGCTTTGTCCCGGACGCGTCTGGTTGGCAGTTTTACCACGCCACCTCACGCCGAGTCTTGCCCTCTCAGGACGTCACTTTTGACGAGTCCGTCCCCTACTACCGCCTCTTCCCCTACCGCACTGCCCCGCTCCCCCCCCCGCCTCTCTTCCTCGCGCCAGGTGCTGCTGTCGTAGACTCCCTCCCCCCTCAAGGTGCCGCTCCCTCAGGTGTGTCTCAGGTAGACCCGGTTGAGCCTGTTGAGGTAGCTGTCGACTCTCGTCCTGATGCGGGTGCGGAGCCTAGGGGTGCGGAGCCTGGGGGTGCGGAGCCTCGGGGTGCTGAGCCTGGGGGTGCGGAGCTTGGGGGTGCTGAGCCTGGGGGTACTGAGCCTGGGGGTGCTCAGCCTGGGGGTGCTGAGCCGCAGAGTCCAGAGTCTGGGGGTTCTGAGTCTGGAGGTGATGAGCCTGGGAGTCCTACACCTGGAGGAGCCCTCTCCTCGGAGCAGCTACGTGAGTGGTACTTACAGTACTGCAGCCTCAGGAGAGGTACCTCTGGAGCCAGGCGTGCTACTTGGACTGGTGCTAGTGCTTCTCCTCCTAGTCGGGAGCTCCCCTCCCGTGAGCGGATCCGTGAGTGGTATGAGCGGCGCTGCACTCTTCGGAGTGGCGTGCCTGGTGTCACGGACCCCGCTGCTGCTGGTGGTGCTGCTGGTGCTAGAGACTCTACTGGTGCTGCGGCCCCAGAGGTTGGAGCTGCTTCTGGTGCTACGGACCCGGGCGTTGGAGCTACGGCTGGTGCTGAGGACCCGGGCGCTGGTGCTGCTGCTAGTGCTGAGGACCCGGGCGTTGGAGCTGCTGCTGGTGCTGAGGACCCGGGCGTTGGAGCTGCTGCTGGTGCTGAGGACCCGGGCGTTGGAGCTCCTGCTAGTGCTGCGGACCCGGGCGTTGGAGCTGCTGCTGGTGCTGAGGACCCGGGCGTTGGAGCTGCTGTTGGTGCTGAGGACCCGGGCGTTGGAGCTGCTGCTGGTGCTGAGGACCCGGGCGTTGGAGCTCCTGCTGGTGCTGCGGACCCGGGCGTTGGAGCTGCTGCTGGTGCTGAGGACCTTAGCGCTGGTGCTGTTGCTGGTGCTGTGGAGTCGGGCGTTGGAGCTGCTGCTGGTGCTGGGGACCCGGGAGTTGGAGCTGCTGCTAGTGCTGAGGACCCTGGCGCTGGTGTCTCTGCTGGTTCTGGAGTCGCTGCACGGCCGCGGCCGTACTTCGTTCCGCTCCTTCAGCAGGTTCTTGGTCAGCTCCCTCCTCCTTGTCCTCCTCCCTCCTTAGGGTGTCCTCCGTCTGTCCAGCTGCAGTCGCAGCTACCGTCTGCCTCCTCTCTCCCTAGTCCTTCTCCTTACACTGGTCCGACTGGAGGTCTTACTGAGCGTCGTGAGCCTGAGTCTCGTCCTGCGTCGCCTGAGTCTCGTCGTGCGTTGCCTGTCCGTGCTGCTCTCACTGGTAGTCGTGTCCCGCGTCAGCGTCTTCCTGCTGTCCCTGGCACTCACCGGATGGCGCTTCGTCCTTCCACTGCTCCACAGCGTGTCCCACTGCCGTCTCCTCCTGCGTCCTCTCTTCCTGCTCTTGCTGACCCGGAGATAGACTCCCTTCGTGCTGCCAGTCCTATTGTCACGCGTCTCCTGGCTACTGTTGTCACTGACCCTTCCTTTGAGTCCGCTGCTGCGTCTGCCTTAGTTGCTGAGCTTGTCGACTTTGCTGCCACCTGTCGTCTAGACTACGCCGCTAGCCTAGTTGCTGAGTCTGTCTGTCCTCCGTCCGTCGGGGGTGAGTGTGCTCTTGGCACTGACGTCCTTGAGGACAGGCAAGAGGAGTTTGAGTGCTTTGCTGCCGCTTTGCCCCATCTTGTGTCCATGCTTGTTGCCCCTGAGGGAGACCCGGATGCACCAGACATCCCGACCCCACACTCTTACGCAGAGGCAATGGCCGGTCCCTACTCCTCTCAGTGGCAGACAGCCATGGACACAGAGATGGCTTCGTGGAAGTCCACAGGCACCTACGTCGACGAGGTTCCCCCGCCTGGGGTGAACATCGTCAGTGGCATGTGGATTTTCAGGGTGAAGCGGCCGCCGGGCTCTCCGCCTGTCTTCAAGGCGCGTTACGTTGCACGAGGCTTCAGTCAGCGAGAGGGAGTTGACTTCTTTCAGACCTTCTCCCTGACCCCGAAGATGACCACTCTTCGGGTTCTGCTGCACGTCGCCGCTCAGCGTGACTACGAGCTCCACTCTCTTGACTTGAGCACTGCTTTCCTACAGGGCAGCCTGCACGAGGAGATCTGGCTGCGCCGCCCACCTGGCTTCACTGGGTCGTTCCCTCCTAGTACCCAGTGGAGCCTCCGACGGCCAGTCTACGGTCTCCGCCAGGCGCCACGTGAGTGGCACGACACACCGAGGACTACTCTTGCGGCTCTTGGGTTCGCGCCTTCTACTGCTGACCCGTCGCTGTTTCTACGCACCGACACCTCACTGCCGTCGTTCTACATCCTCGTGTACGTCGACGACTTGGTCTTTGCCACTGCTGACACTACGGCACTCGCCCACGTGAAGTCGGAGGTGCAGAAGAGACACACGTGCACAGACCTGGGTGAACTGACAAGCTATCTTGGCTTGCGGATCACCAGGGACAGAGAACGCCGCACCATCACCTTGACTTTGTCACACATGGTGCAGCAAGTCCTTCAGCGCTTCGGCTTCACGTACTCCTCGCCTCAGCCCACTCCTCTGCCTACCGGTCACTCGCTCTCAGCTCTGCCTTCGGATGAGTCCGTAGAGCCAAGTGGCCCGTATCGAGAGCTTGTGGGTTGCCTCATGTACCTGATGACCTGCACTCGACCTGACCTTGCATACCCTCTTAGCATTCTTGCACGCTATGTCGCTCTCGGCCGTCACCGGAAGGAGCACATGGATGCAGCTAAGAGGGTGTTGCGCTACTTGTGCAGTACGTCGGGCATGGGGCTAGTGTTTGGAGGGCGAGACCCAGTTGTTCTCACTCGGCACTCAGACGCTTCTTGGGCAGACGACCAGGCTACTCAGCGGTCGTCTCAGGGTTACACCTTCAGTCTTGGCTCTGGTTCAGTTTCTTGGCGTTCTACTCGCTCTTCTTCTGTTCTGAGCTCCCGTTGTGAGGCTGAGATCTACGCCACAGCCATGGCGGCCCAGGAGCTATGCTGGCTCACCTACTTGCTGACCGACCTTGGAGAGCGGCCTCGTTCTCCTCCAGTGCTGTACGTCGACAACAAGGCAGCCATTGCCTTGTGTGAGGAGCACAGACTGGAGCACAGAACGAAGCACATTGCTCTGCGCTACTTCCTTGCTCGAGAGCTGCAGCAGCGTGGTCAGCTTCGTCTGCGTTACGTGGCCTCTGAGGGCAACACTGCTGATGTGTTCACCAAGGCGCTTCAGCCTTGTGGCCATCAGCGCTTTTGCACTCTTCTAGGCCTTGTGCCTACTGGACCTCACTTGCTTACTTCTTGAGTCTGTTTGTACTGTGATCTCTATATATATTTACCTGCATGTTTACTCTTGCTAGGTTGTGATCTTTGTACCTCTTTTTCTATTATATACCTGCATGTGAACTGGTCTTGTTACCACTTCCTTGTGCTCGGAATTTGTGTGGTATCCTTGAGATCCACCCTGAGCTTGTTTTGCCTTGCTTTGCCTTGACTGGTCTTGTGACCCCTAGTTCTCCCCCACTTCGCCTATGGGGGTGTGTCAAACATTATATATGTTGTGCTTGTCTAGGCTACACTGGGCTAGCCTATAGGGGG